CCTCAGCGTGAGAAGTGCAACCCTCCCATCGAGGAGATGCTGCTTTGGGAGCGATCCCCACTGTTCTCCTTGCCTGTGACAAGTCATAAGCCTTCCTATCCAGGCTTCTGGTCTTGGTTGCATTTGTTGATTGAGCTCACTGAGAAATGGACCCATTGAGTCTGGTAACATTTGTTGAATACTGTTTAAGCCCTTTGCCTAAATTATCTCTTTTAATTATCACATGATAACTACTTTATACCCATTTTATGAGTGAGAAGACTGAGACATATTGAATGTAAGTAACTGTCCCATAGCCACCCAATTGACAAGTGGTAGAGCCAGACATGACCCCAGACATCTGACTTTCCTGTCCCAAGGGACAGAGGCAGACCCAGAAAGCAATAAAAGGAAGACAGCCTTGCATGATTAGATGGACACATGGCCAAAGGAGTGTCATCCACGTCGGCCTGGGTAGAGGGGTGGGCCAAGCAACCAGTGATCTCCTGGAGGAGACCACTTCTGAGCAAAGTCCAGGAAAACAAGTCACTGTTAACAAAGTGAAGAATAGGGGAAGAATATTCATCTGACTGGAGTCCCCCAACCAAGACTGAGCTAAGGCCGGGGTGCTGGAGACCTGGGCATGAGGGCAGCTGGCAGCCTGAGACCCCTGTAAATGTTGGGCCCACTTTGATGGAGAGAAGAGGCCGCATGCTCTAGGGAAGGTGAAGAAGGGGAGTCCCTGGCTGGGAGCGCAGCCTCTCCTCTGTGGCCAGCAATTCCAACTCCTCCAGCCCCAGACCCACAAAACAAATGCAGCCAAATCAAAATCCCACGGGAACATGCAGCCTCCTTCAAGGGCTCGGGGACCTTCTCTTCTGCAGACAGTCCTAATATACATGCCTTTCTCATCCTCACCATAATTCAGTGAGATACGTTCGTGTTCCTGGAAGACGGATACCCTGGGAAGCCACCTGACTGATTTCCCACATCAGTCCCCTCTGAGCCCAGGGAGCTGTAACAGATCTACTTGGCTGCAGAGGACAGTTTTCATGGGATGTGAAGGCCGAGGACACAAACCAAGCCTGATTTCACTCTCAAGGAGACGCATCCACCTGAACGACGGGGAACCATGGAGAAGCATCAACTGCAACTAGAGAACTTACAAAATCACTAGAATTAAAGAGTGAGTGAGAAATTTTAGAAACCAGCTGGTTGAGCTTCCTCAGCATGTTCACCTATCTGAGTTGGCAGTTTGGTGGCCAAGTATTATCTTCTAGCAGAGCAACTCCAAGCCTGTGGCTGCAGGAGCATTAGGCAAGTCCACGTAACCTTGAAGCTGAGTATTCAGTCTTTCTGACAGCTGGAAATTATGATCCCTTCCATTTTGAATTTCAGCATCTTAAAATATTACACCCATAGGTGCGTGTCTCTTAGCAATACACGTATTGCTCCATGTTGCCAATGAAGAATCCATGGTGAGGGTGGAACTGAGACTTGCATGGAAGACTGAGGGGAACTTGGTGGCTGACTTTTGGGCTCTCAAGAGACAGAATATGGACCCCCAGAGGGGTGGTGAAAGGCGAGTGAAGACAATGAGTCCTTTTGGGGCTTGAGGAGTTTCAATTCGTAGTAGACTTTCAAACAAAATTGCAGCAACCAGTTAGAAATGTAGGATCAGACATCAAAATAGGGACCTGGAATGAAGGTATATGGGGGTCACCTCTACAGAAGCATTGAATGTGGACAAATTGTTAGTAGCTAAGAGTGTAGAAAAGGAGTTCTTAATAAAGGGTTCATGCCAAGGGGTTGGATCCAGGGGTCTATAACCACACTTAAGTTATATGCAGCATTTTATGTAAATGTTACTGAATGTTAAAATGGAAGTTTTACATTACACCCCTTTCTCATAGGGGATCCTTGCATCTTCCAGAGTTAAGAATTATTAACATAGAGCAAGAGGCCAAGGTTTGGGCTTGGGGGAGAGCACTTGTATTGCAGCCAGCAGGGGAGTTGGGGGGGGGGGGGCAGGGGGCAGAGAGAAGAATTAGAAGGGGACAGGAAGAAGAATTAGAAGGAAGGAATATAGGATCAAAAGGACAGGGAGGATGTGGCGTTCTGCACATTGCCTGCCCACCCCTGCAGGGCCAGGAAGGTAAGTGGGTGGCAGGAAGTGACTGACCAAGGGAAGTCCTGTGAGTGCATCCTGGTGGAGGACCAACCACCTCCATCTCCTGGGCAGGCCTCTTTCATTCTGCCTTCTTGCCTTGTGGCCTGGGAACTGAGGGACCTGGTCAGGTGCGGTTGAGTGATCAGGATAAAAGCAGATGGGCTGCCCACTGAGGTTGGAAAGGAACATTTCCAGATCTGCACAGCAGTCAGCGCACGTGGGAGACACTCCATGATCAAACCCCAGCGGCGCTTACAAGAGGGATTCTTTTTGAGGCCCCCAACCCTGCCCCCCATCCTGCCCCACCAAGTGCTGGATGCTTACATATTATTTGTAGTCTTACAACAACTCGGCACATACGTCTACATCATGAACTGTCTAAACCAGACAATAGAAAACAAAATTTTATATTGCTCAGACCATTTTATAATAATCCTATCACATATTGAGCACTTACCATTTGTCAGATCCTGTTTCAACTAGCAAAAGTGTGAGGCTGTGAAAATCAGAGACCAAAAATAGTGGCTTAAACACACAAGAGTTTATTTTCTTCTGTAAAAGAATTTCAGATGGCAACATAGGGCTGGCATTGTGACTCCAAAAAATGAAGAGGACACAAAGCAGCAGGTTTCTTCCATCTTTCTCTCTCCCTTCCTCAGAGCTGGCTTCTGTCCTCCAGGTTACTTCATGTTCCAATATAGCTGCTGGAGCTCCAGCCATCTGGTCGTCATTCCCGGTAGCAGAAAAGGCAGAAATGACTCCTCCCAGGTGAGTCAGCTCTTTACAGTGTGAATTCCCACATGTCTGAAACAAGAATTTCACTTATATCTTGGTCATGTGGCCACTCCCAGCTTTAAAGAAGGCTGGGGAATGCAATCTTTATTGCAGATAGTTCCATACCCAAACAAAAAGTGCAGTTCTCTTACCGAGGAAGGAAAGAGCGAGCAAGATCTGCTGCTGGCCCTTACTCAATCATCACGGCAACCCACCGAGAACAGCTCTACTATCCCACTTATAGCTGCCCCAGTGCCCCAGGGGTGCAGTGGCCTAGCAGGCCTTACAGCAGGCCTAATGATGCACAGCTTTTTGCTTTTTTCCACCTTGCTGTCATGCCCCCAGACAAATTGAGAGCACCCTAGATGCACAGACAGGAGGCCAAGACAGAGCCTTTCCATAATATGCCCTCCATCAACCTCCACAGGGCTCTGAGGAGAGACCCCTGAAGTCAGTGCAGCTCGCTCCTGGGGTCCCGCCTCACCTTCCAACTCCTCTCCCTGCTTTGTGAGTTCTCTCAGCTGGAGAAAGGCAGAGGGGTCTTTCCTAAAATGATTTCAATGGGGAGTGAGAGTCGAGGGTACAACTGTCAGATCCCTTGTACTTCCCGTAGGAAAGGGTCTCACCCATGAAGGGGACTTCTAAGGGCAGCAGCAATGTGTGGCCTAGGAAGACATTTTGGTGATGACTCTGCTTTGTTGTTGTTTTGAAAGAATGCAAAGAAACTGTCCCCTGTGAAGGTGCAGGTGAGTGTAGCTGGTGTGTGCATGTGTTGTGAATCTGTGAGTTTCACTGTGAGTGTGGGTGTTTACATGGGCAGGCGTGTGAGCGTATGTCTCTGTGTGTGGCATGTCGGTGTGTAGGTGTGTGTCTCTGTGTTCTGGTGTGAGTGTGAATATGTGGGGGGCTGTAAGTGTCTGTGAGGGAAGTCTGGCAGGGGGTTGTTAGGAAAAAGACCCTCACTTCCTTGTTACTGGCCTCCCCTGGAATGCGTGTGGAAAAACCTGGCTAATCATTAATGGAAAAACTTGAAACAGGCGGCATCTGGCCCTTCCAGGTACCTCTTACCTGTGCTCACCTGCATCCCTTCCTGTGTTACATGGGAACCATCACTACCTGTCTCTACCTTGCATCTTTCCAGATAGCACCATAAAGGACTTTACAGTAATAACACACAACCGCACTGAGATGACGTTGCACTCTGCGTGCCACCGGACAGGAGCGCCAGCCTCCGCCACCCGCGACTGCCTCCTCCACTTGGACACCGAGGTTGGGGGCTCCTGTAGGGTCTTAACTTTAGGAGACTAGAGTTACCAGCCAGAAACTCTCTGTTCCTCATGCCTGAAAATGCACAGCCTCCGCCCTGCGTTTTCACCTCCTCTTCCTCTAAAACATCTACGATTGAGATGCGCTCACTCTGGGGTTTGCTGACATTCAGGTGTCATCAGCTTCAGAGGTAAGACGCTCTCACTCCACACTTTTCTTCCTGGTCCTCTGATCCTCTGTGCTCCGGGGGAAGGCTGTTGCCTAGACAGGCCTTCAGGAGCCAGGTGATGGGGGAGAGTCTTCCTGTGCAGACAGTCCCTCCGCAGGCTCACCTGTTCATGCTCTACTTCCTGGGACCCAATAGCCCCTGTGTCTCCATCAGTTCCTGTCCCCCAGACCTTCCATGGTCCCTGCTTAGGGGAGCAGCTCAGTGGACAGAGGCCCCTGGCTTCCAGCAAGATAATGCTGGGTCCACAGGAGGCAGTGCGGTGCTGAGGGAGCAGCCCCAAAAGAAGAAGTGTGTGTGTGTGTGTGTGTGTGTGTGTGTGTGTGTGTGTGTGTAGGCGCACGCGCCTACATCTTATGCAAAAGAAAAAGAAAGTGAGAGTGAGCTTGCCAATCACTGCAAAGTCCCCCCTGCCCTCCCCTCATGTTCAGCTGTGGGCAAAGTGGGAGGAGGAGGGGAGGAGAGCTGCAGGTGTCCACTACGGGCTGCTGTGAGACCCAGCCAGGGCAGGTAGGCTCAGTGTGATCCGACTGGCCCTGGGAAGCCAGGAGAGAGCTCTTAGTATTCCTTCCCAGCTAAGGGAGGATGGCCAGACCCTGGAAGGCTCCACAGCTCCTGCTGGCCATTCTGGTGGCCCTGATGGCCCATACCTACCAAACAAGGAAGAAAACCTTTATCCTGGTCCAAGAAGTGTCTGCAGTGGAAGCTTACGTGCCGGACACCTTGCAGTTTGTCACTGATGAGTATAATAGGGAAAGTGATGATGAGTACAACTTCAGGATCCTCCGAGTCCTGAAAATCCTGAAGAAGGTCAGTGTGGCTCCCGTCCTCTCTCCTCGCCATTCCCCTATGCCAGGGGATCGCTGGTACTCAGGGGAAGGTCCCACTCTGGTGAAATTTGGCCTCACTGAGTTTGAGGTGGGCATTTTAAGAGAAGCATAAATTCACTAGAGTGGATGAAGTTAAGTCCCTTAAGATCAAGAATCAGCAAATCACATTCCAAGGGCCAAATCTGCCTGCTGTCCACTTTTGCAAGCAGTGTTATAGGAACCCAGGCATACCATCTGCATTTGTGTCGTCTGTGGCCGCTTGCATGTTTTGATGGCAGAGTTGAGTCATAGCAATAGAGACCGTATGGCCCACAAGCCCAAAATGTTTGCTCCCTAGCCCTTTGCAGAAAAAATTTACAGACCCCTACCTCAGGCAATTAGCATCATTTGTGTTATCCAAGGACTGGTTTTGCATATGGATCGTATTTCTAGTGGTGTCTTTGAAAGACAATAAGAGGCATGGAGTCAGATAGGGGAGTGGGGAGCCCACCAACCTGTCCAGGACTGGGTCCTTGCCCTCAGGCACAGTGTAAGGTGATCCTGCACACACAAGCTACAGAGAAGGGAGCAGAGGCCACTCTATAGCTCCTTGTCACTCGCTGCCCACAGATAACGGATCACTTGGAGTATCACATCGACGTGGAGATGCAGCGGACCACCTGCAAAAAGCTGGAGACGAAGGACTGTGTCTTACAGAAAGGAGAGCTTTACAAGGTACTGGGTAAAATGCACATGAACTTGATGGTTTTTTTCTAGGCTTTTAGGATGAGGTGGGGTAGACTTATTTGAGATTTATTCAAACTCACTTGAAGAGAATGTATGGATAATACCTCCCTCTTTAGAGAGGAAAAGTGAAGGTGGGAATGGCCAATGCCTTGCTCTTTTATTGCTGGAAGGATGAGGAGGAGCTGAGGTGGCTGAGTTGCAGGGAGACTGAGCGAGGGAAGTGGCCAGTTACGGATCACATGCAGCAGCCAGCAGGACATGGCTGGGGTGCCAGCTGAATGTCTGAATGTCAGCACAAGAACGCACAGTCACTGGGCTCCAGCCTCTGTTCCTGTCACCCAGTGGTTCTTGGCATGGGGAAGGAAGAGATGAGAAAAAGAGTTCAGAAATAATTTGGTGATGGGGGCAGGCTGGGGACAGACGTGTGTGTGTGTGGCCTGCTGAGAAGCTACCTCCCCAAAGGCAGCTCAGCCCCTACATGCTATGCTCCCACCCAGGGCTCTCCTGGCTGGGGAAGGCTGGGCAGACTGCAGCTGCACTATCGCCACCCCAATGTGCATAGGGTGGGTCCCATGTTCCTTGAAGGTCACAAGTCCTACAAGCCCTGGAAATCTCTTCACTTCACACAAACAGATTAAAACTAAGATGACTATATGTCCTACCTTGCCTGGAATCATTCTGATTTATGCCTAACTTCTTAGTGTGATCATTCATAGCATCCCCTTTTGCATATAATGCATCCCCTTTTGCATATAATGCATCCTGCTTCACTTCATAAACTATATGGTCACCCTGGGTGTTCACGACACAGAAATGTGTCCATCCATGGGCTCCCTCCTCACTTTCTACATGGGTAATTCTTCAAAATCTCTGGTTCTTCCCTGGAGAAGGTCATGACACCTATGAAAAGAATAATTGAAGATAACAGTAAAGTAAAATTAAAGGAACTTTTTGACTGGGGAGATTGAATCAGTGGAGTTGATACTCTGAATTTTACTTTAAGAGGAATGTAGATGCCTAAGCCTCCCACCCCCAACTCCAGGCTTTCAAATGAAGAGCAGAAAAACAAAATCATGCTAAGAAATGATAATCAATAATATGCAAAATATATTTCAAGTGTTGACTTTTTATTACAGAGAAGGAAGTAAAAAAGAAAAGGGAAATTTGGGAGAAAATAGGGAGGAAGGAAGGAGAGAGCTAATGCAATGGATAGGTGGGTGGCTGAACAAATGAAGGAGGGTAGGAAGCAAAGCTGGATGGACTGGTGGAAGGATGGGAGGATGGAAGGATAAATGGATGGATCAATGGAGATGAGTGGGTGGATGGGAAAGTGAATGAAAGGATAAATGGATAGTTGGAAGGAAGCCTGGATTGGATGAATGTAAGAATGGAAGGAAGAATGAAAGGGTAGATGGATGGATGGATGGGTGGATGGGTGGGTGGATGGATGGATGGATGGATGGATGGATGGATGGATGGATGGATGGATGGATGGATGGATGGATGGATGGATGGATGGATGGATGGATGGATGGATGGATGGATGGATGGATGGATGGATGGATGGATGGATGGATGGATGGATGGATGGATGGATGGATGGATGGATGGATGGATGGATGGATGGATGGATGGATGGATGGATGGATGGATGGATGGATGGATGGATGGATGGATGGATGGATGGATGGATGGATGGATGGATGGATGGATGGATGGATGGATGGATGGATGGATGGATGGATGGATGGATGGATGGATGGATGGATGGATGGATGGATGGATGGATGGATGGATGGATGGATGGATGGATGGATGGATGGATGGATGGATGGATGGATGGATGGATGGATGGATGGATGGATGGATGGATGGATGGATGGATGGATGGATGGATGGATGGATGGATGGATGGATGGATGGATGGATGGATGGATGGATGGATGGATGGATGGATGGATGGATGGATGGATGGATGGATGGATGGATGGATGGATGGATGGATGGATGGATGGATGGATGGATGGATGGATGGATGGATGGATGGATGGATGGATGGATGGATGGATGGATGGATGGATGGATGGATGGATGGATGGATGGATGGATGGATGGATGGATGGATGGATGGATGGATGGATGGATGGATGGATGGATGGATGGATGGATGGATGGATGGATGGATGGATGGATGGATGGATGGATGGATGGATGGATGGATGGATGGATGGATGGATGGATGGATGGATGGATGGATGGATGGATGGATGGATGGATGGATGGATGGATGGATGGATGGATGGATGGATGGATGGATGGATGGATGGATGGATGGATGGATGGATGGATGGATGGATGGATGGATGGATGGATGGATGGATGGATGGATGGATGGATGGATGGATGGATGGATGGATGGATGGATGGATGGATGGATGGATGGATGGATGGATGGATGGATGGATGGATGGATGGATGGATGGATGGATGGATGGATGGATGGATGGATGGATGGATGGATGGATGGATGGATGGATGGATGGATGGATGGATGGATGGATGGATGGATGGATGGATGGATGGATGGATGGATGGATGGATGGATGGATGGATGGATGGATGGATGGATGGATGGATGGATGGATGGATGGATGGATGGATGGATGGATGGATGGATGGATGGATGGATGGATGGATGGATGGTGCCCACCCTGCTCTGGACCTCACCCCATGCTGCTTTTCTCTTTGCTGATTTTGCTTTGTGTCCTTCTGCTGTACCAAGTCACAGCCATGAGCACGGCTGTATGCTGAGTCTTGTGAGTCCTATGGATCATCAACCTGGGTTTGGTTGTGGGCACCTTAGACACACTAACAAAGACACATGTGAGTCACAGTGCTGTGTGTGGGTGGGGGAAGGACATAGGGTTCATGTTAGGGCCAGAGATCAGGGATGTGCCTGAATCTAGAAAAGCCATCGATATGGGAGATGGGCTGCAGGAGAAAGAATGAGGAGGTTTCCACAAGGAGTTAACATTCTGTCCAATTGCACCAGCTCCTGAAGACCACTGGGTGTGCATGTGAGTGGTGTGGGTGTGAGTGTGTGGGGGTTGGGAGGGTAAGCGTGTGCATGTGTTTGCACATGTGCGTGTGCGTGTGTGTGTAGCAAGACCCGAACGAGGGAGACAAGTTCTTCAGAACTTTATGACAGCCAGTGCACAGCGCGGCCGTCCGAGGCCTCAGGGAGGGTCTATGAAGGAGCTCTCAGCCCTCCAGACAGGAATTGTTCCAGAGCTGGTAATAGTTGACCCAGGGCACAGTGTACATCAAAAACTCACAAATGAGAGTCTGGAAGAAGAAAGAACATGGACAATCAGCTTTTGGGAAAATAGTTTTCAAAGGCAAACAGAAGGGTCCTGCCCCTCAGGCCCTGGTCTGGGAGTCTGGAGCCATCTCGACGGCTGCTCACTGACCAGGTGGGCACAGGAGGAGCTGCCCATGGTCACATGGTGGGGACAGCAGGGAGGGTCAGCCCAGAATAGAACGTCACCCTGGTTCCACCTGCCCAGCCACTTGGGACTGATAGCAGGTGCACTGGAGCCTGTGACCCAGGAGGGATCTGAGATAAAGGCTGGGTGGAACAGAAATGTGGCAATGCCGCATTGCCCCTCCACCTGCCCCGCACCTACACCCGGGTACAGAGAGAGACCCTCATATCTGCCTGCTTGCAGGTTGTGGCCTTCAGGGACCAGGAGAAACAGAAGGGAATGGGCAGAGCTTGGAAGACAAGGAAAAACCGGGCAGTCCTCAGAGACGTGGTGAGTGAGAGATCAGAATGAGGACCCCAGGAGCAGGAAATGCCAGGGTGGCGGGCGCTGAGGAACCCAGGTTACCGGAGGCCTGGGTCCAGGGTGTGCCAGCACAGCGTGGTGGGACTGCCCAATAAAGAGGCTTCCTCTGTCCCCATTGCCTTGGGAGGTGTCAGGCAGCCCCAGGGCCTGCCCTAGTAGGACCCAGTCCACACGGCTGGAAAAGCAGCCAGCGTCCAAGAAGTGCTTTTTAAAATGCTCACTTTCCCCTTTTTGATGGCAAGTCCCTTTCAGGTGACTCCCACACACACCTTCCTCAGCTTCTTGCTTTGCAGGGGGCAGGTAGAATTCTTCGTTTCACTCCTCTTGCATTTGGTCCGGCCAATCTTCACGGTGACCATGTACTCGACCCCCGTGGTCAACTGCAGGGAAGTGATTGCACGGTTAGTTTTGAGTCCAGGCATCCGGTGACTGACCTTCTCCTGGAGAGGTAGGGACTGAGGGGGAAGCCCCGGAGACACAGTCCCTGTTCCCAGAGCTCACACACCACAAACACGGCTCCCTTCTCCCCACCCTGGCTGGAGGAGGCTCAGTGGCAGCCCAGGCCCTGGCCTCCCCTCATGCCGGCTCCCTGGAGTGGCTTTGCTATGGTGGCAACAGGCAGCTTGTTACCTGTCTCCCTTCTGTCCTCAGGACGAGGGAGGTGACATGGAGCTGGGTTGCCTGGCAGCTGCAGCCACCCCAGGCAGCACACATGGTCCTCCCAGCATAGAGATCCAGCGTCTATCCCTGTGTCAGTCCCTACAGTCTTTTCCTCTCTTCTTACTCTCCTTCCCAACCAGCCTGAAGGGTGGCAGGTTTGCAACACAGCTAAAAACACGGGTTTTGGAGTCAAATTGATTTGGGGTGTGCATTCCCCATTTTCTGACTCTGTGACCTTGAGCATGTTGCTTAGCAGCCTCAGTTTCCTCACTTGGAGAGTCCAAGTTGTAATGGTGCCTACTCATGGAGTTGCTGTGTGGGCTTATGGAAGCATGCATTCCACTTAATGCATGAGATAAATTTTAAAGTAATTGAGTCATTACAAATTATTAACTGTTTTAGCAAAGTGTCTGGAACATTATTCCGCAGCAGCTATGGAGCTGGAAGAACAACACACAGAGACAGAAGAACTGCACTCGAGACCTGGACTTATTCCCTGCGAACTTCGTCACTTTGGACAGTCCCTCCAACTCCCTGAATCTCAGTTTCCTCATCTGAAAAATGGGAGAATAATGCCAATTTCCTCCTGGGGTGTGTGAGAGTGAAGGAAGGGGATGTAGTAAACCCGTAAGCTTCAGAGACACACGCCAGGGCCATTTCCCATGACTGTGATTTGTCTTCTTTTACTCAAGATCAAGTGTGAGGCCATGGAGACTGGATGGGGTGCAGGTCAAGAAAGCCCCATGGGCAGGGAAGTCCTACGCCCAGGAGTGAAACTCTAATACAGAGTTTGGTGGTTATTGTTCTCTGTCGGAAACTGAGCTGGATTCCCCAAGTAAATATGTGGATTAGAGAGTTCTACACTGGTGAGGTGAGATTCTCCTGGAAGCCCTCTGCCCAAATGTCAGTGGTCAAACAAAATAAGATCACTTGGTCCTCACTGGGGTGGTGACAGAGGCAGGGAGTGCCCACACTGCTCCCAGAAGGGGACTTCAGGGCAGGGCAGCAGGGGAGCGAGGCCCAAGGGCAGTGCCAAGATCCTAGTCCCAGCAGCCACTGAAACCAGCCCAGGTGCAGGTGCTCCTCTGCTCTTTTCAAAGGACAGCGCCGTCCTGCTCTGGCATCCTGCAGATGCTCTGCCAAGAGCTGTCACACCAACCTTTAGCACACTCTGTGTGTATGAAAAACTACAAACACTGGTCACACGTTTAACCAACATCCCAGTGTAGCAAGTGTTTTCCTATTTGTTATTAGACTTGGTTGTTAAATAATAACAGAAATAGTCATAATGGCAAACATTTTTACAAGTGCTACTGGATGTCAGTACTGTGTTAAGTGCTTCTCTGTTATTCCGACCCACTTTGCAGGTGATGAGAGGAGCCCAGGAGAGTCTGGACATCACTTGATCAGGATCCTATTGCTGGGAGGGGCTGGGCGTCAAACCCGGAGGGGGACCTGGAGCCCAGGCACAGGCAGCCCATCGTGCCCGCCTCCTATACCCCTCTCTGAAGTATGAGGAAAAACACATCATGTCTGGGGTGGGGACGTTCTGAGACAAGATCACCCGGCAGCCCCGCTTCGTCCACTTATCAATTTGATGACATCGAACGTTTGCTTATAACTATTTTTCAACAGTTAACTGCTGGTGATAATGGATTGTTTCACAGGACGGGCCTCCTTGCAGTCTCAGATCTATGTTTAGGAAACCGATCCAAGAGAAGAGGCCGAGAGCAACACCACTGCCTTGCGGTAAAGTGTATAACTGAGATGGACTCGCCGAGATGTCTATGCTGCGACTAGGAGTCGCCGCCCTGTCGCACCAGCTCTGCCCACCCCCTGCCCCACCCTCAGCCCCCTGCCCTGTCACCTCACTGGTTTCTCCTGTTCCAGCGGCCCTTCCTTCTGGCCTGAATCTTTTCTTCTACTCAATTATTTTTTCCCAAATCCAGCTCATTGAACTTAGATGCAGTGTTGCCATTGTCCTAACACATACTACCTCTGACCTTGAGAGAAGGTTGGACCAATAAAGGTGGTTCTCCAACAACTTTTTTCCCTCTATCATCCTTCAATTGATATATTTCAGAGAAACTTTATATGTTAAACAAAAGGGGAAGTGTTTTACAAGTGCTACTAGATGTCAGTACTGTGTTAACTGCTTCCCTGTTATTCTGACCCACTTTGCAGGTGAGGAGACCAGGCCAGGAGAGTCTGGACGTCACTTGACCAAGATCCTATTGTTGGGAGGGGCTGGGCATCAAACGCAGAGGGGGACCTGGAGCCCAGGCACAGGCAGCCCACCGTGCCTGCCTCCTGTACCCCTCAGTGAAGTATGAAGAANACTTATTCCCTGCGAACTTCGTCACTTTGGACAGTCCCTCCAACTCCCTGAATCTCAGTTTTTCCTCATCTGAAAAATGGAAGAATAATGCCAATTTCCTCCTGGGGTGTGTGAGAGTGAAGGAAGGGGATGTAGTGAACCTGTAAGCTTCAGAGACACATGCCAGGGCCATTTCCCATGACTGTGATTTGTCTTCTTTTACTCAAGATCAAGTGTGAGGCCATGGAGACTGGAGGGGGTGCAGGTCAAGAAAGCCCCGTGGGCAGGGAAGTCCTACACCCAGGAGCAAAACTCTAATACAGAGTTTGGTGGTTATTGTTCTCTGTCGGAAACTGAGCTGGATTCCCCAAGTAAATATGTGGATTAGAGAGTTCTGTGCTGGTGAGGTGAGATGCTCCTGGAAGCCCTCTGCCCAAATGTCAGTGGTCAAACAAAATGAGATCACTTCATCCTCACTGGGGTGGCGACAGAGGCAGGGAGTGCCCACACTGCTCCCAGAAGGGGACTTCAGGGCAGGGCAGCAGGGGAGCGAGGCCCAAGGGCAGTGCCAAGATCCTAGTCCCAGCAGCCACTGAAACCAGCCCAGGTGCAGGTGCTCCTCTGCTCTTTTCAAAGGACAGCGCCGTCCTGCTCTGGCATCCTGCAGATGCTCTGCCAAGAGCTGTCACACCAACCTTTAGCACACTCTGTGTGTATGAAAAACTAAAACGCTGGTCATACGTTCAACCAACATTCCAGTGTAGCAAGAGTTTTCTTATTTGTTATTAGACTTGATGTTAAATAATAATAGAAATAGTCATAATAATGGCAAACAGTTTTACAAGTGCTACTAGATGTCAGTACTGTGTTAACTGCTTCCCTGTTATTCTGACCCACTTTGCAGGTGAGGAGACCAGGCCAGGAGAGTCTGGACGTCACTTGACCAAGATCCTATTGTTGGGAGGGGCTGGGCATCAAACGCAGAGGGGGACCTGGAGCCCAGGCACAGGCAGCCCACCGTGCCTGCCTCCTGTACCCCTCAGTGAAGTATGAAGAAAAACACATCATGTCTGGGGTGGGGACATCCTGAGACAAGATCATCTGGCAGCTCGGCTCTGTCCACTTATCAATTTGAATGACACCAAACGTTTGCTTATAACTATTTTTCAATAGTTAACTGCTGATGATAATGGATTGATTTCACAAGACGGGCCTCCTTGGACTCTCAGATTTATGTTTAGAAAACCGATCAGAGAGAAGAGACCAAGAGCAACCCCGCCACCTTGCGGTAAAAGTGTGTAACTGAGACAGACTCGCGGAGGTGTCTATGCTGAGACTAGGGGCCGCCGCCACCCTGTGGCACCAGCTCTGCCCACCCCCTCCCTACCCACCACCCCTGCCCTCCCACCTCGCTGGTTTCTCCTGTTCCAGCGGCACTTCCTTCTGGCCTGAATCTTTTCTCCTACTCAATGATTTTTTCCCAAATCCAGCTGATTGAACCAAGATGCAGTGTTGCCACCCAAATCCAGCTGATTGAACCAAGATGCAGTGCTGCCACTGTCCTAACATACACTTTACCAGTGACCTTGAGGGAAGGTTGGACCCACAAAAGTGGTTCTCAAACAACTTTTTTTTCCTCTATCATCCTTCAATTGATATATTTCAGAGAAACCTTATACGTTAAGCAAAAGGGGAGATGATTTGATTGAAGCCTATCTATCCCTCACTCCTCCCAACCCCCCACCTCCAAAAAATCCTCTGCGTAATTTCAATTTTCCGTAGAACACAGAGAACCCAGTCTTAGATTTTACAACCCTGGACCCTGAAAACAGTATTGCTGTGGAGTGGTATCTACAGAGATAGACACCACTATTCGTATTTTGCCAAATGAGACCTTTAAGGAAAGCAACATTGTCCTCGTTTGCCGTCACTCTGGAAGGACCTAATATCAGAACGAAAGGCAGTTCTCCCTAAGGAAGAGCAGTTGAGAACCTCAATGGACTTTCTTGCTTCTGACTAACAGAGTCAGGGTTCACTCCAGTCCTTAGACCGGCATTTCAGAAGCGTGGACAAGGCAATTTGGGACCTGAACAACTCTAAAATGTGCCCATCGCAGGTGAAGCTGCTGCCCACCTGGAGACACCATCCCCAGTTCTATCAGGAGCCACACTGGAAGCCCTGCATGTCTGAATGAGCAAGAATGAGGGAGAAACTGAGGCACAAACCTGCATCTGACTTCGAATTAGCTTCTGGATTCGGAATAAGTAGGTGTCATTGCTGGCATTGTTGTAGGATTGAATGAAGAAGTTGAGTGTTGAATTCATGTTTTTCTTGCTCATAGGCATCTCCTGGAAGCCCTCCCACCTTTGGAAGTAACCCAGCTTGGCCGCCAGGACCAGGGCAACCAGTAGCAGCAAGGGGTTCCTCCAGCATCCGACCCCCATCTCTGCAGCCTCAGAAATCTCCTCTCCAGCTGCACCTTCCAGGGTGGGCTGGTGCCAGGCAGCGGCTCGCTGGCTCTTCTACAACAGCCCCCGCCAACACAAGCTTTCCTGGGAGACGGCCTGCTAGCATTTAAACAGAGATTGAGCCCAAACCTCCTCCTTCCGAGGCCTGACCAAAGAAGACCAGCTGGGGACATTTCCCTGAAGGGCCACCCAGCCCACTCTCCAGTCAGTTCGTTTTCCATTCATATATGGAATGGAATGGCATGGCTCTCCCTGCCTTAACACCTAGCAGGGAAGAAAGCCCCCAGAACAGACCCTTACAGTGCTATGCAATGAGAGCTGGTGTAGCAGACAGAGGGCGACATTTATGGGCTGGGGAAAGACTTGTGGAGAAGGTAGTATTTGAACTGAGATGCAAGGAATCAGCAACATGGAAAAGGGGGTGATACATTCTACCTACCTACCTTGGGTTCCAGCTGTCTCACCAAGCCATCAGCTGCTCCCTGCACTTCCTGTAGGCACAGGATCTCTCCCCAGATTTCTGCTTCCTGGATCCCACTGTGCCTACAGGCTCTGGCACTAGCTCTTGCCATCTTGTTGTGACCCCAGTGGAGCTTTGTGAGGTAATCTCAGCCTCCCTGGGGGTGGGGCGAGGGGGGTGAGAATAAGCTGCAAACTTACTCAGAAGCTAATCCTGCAGACCCCTGAAGGTTAAGTGTCACCCAGAAGCCTGTACACATGCCCTATTTTTAAAACATTTTGTTAAGGTGAGATTCTGAGTGACATCATGCTCCAGAAAAAGATCAATAGAGGGATAATTGATGAAATGTGAATAAAATCTGGAGATTAGTTAATAGAATTGTGCAAACATTAAATTCCTAGTTATCACCATTGTACTGTGATTATACAAGGTGTTAACATTTGGGGAAGTGGGATGAAAGGTATATAAGAATGGTTTATGCTATTTTTGCAAAATTTTTGTAAGTCTAAAATTGTTTCAAAATAAAGGTTAAAATGTCCAAGACCAAGTAAATAAAGTGTTGGTCTGTGAGAAGCAGCATGATGTGGTGGGGGATGCATGAGTCTTGGAATCCAGCCATTCTGCACTCAAGTCCTTTGCTTAGTCTCCCTGAGCCTCAGCTTCCTCGTCTATGATATGACGATGGAGAGAAATACTCATCATGGGTTGCGGCGGAGACTAAATGGATGCAGGCCAAGAAGCTGCCCCCAAGCCAGGCATCAGGTGTCAAGAAAATCTGCATGATTCTTCTGTGACTCTGCATCCACGTGCTTCAGCCCATGGTCTGGCAGACCCTTCCCGCCCCAGCTCCCAGGCCACCCTCCATCATGACAATCATGCTAGGACCCTCACAACAGCCTCCCTGGACCCTCAGAGCCTGCCTTGCTAGCGCACGCCTAGCCAGTGGAGTTGGCAGCTCTGCAGTTCCCGGAGCCTGAGCTGCAGGGTGTCACTGCAGAAGAGATAAACAAGGAGTCAGAGTAAAACATGAGGCTGCTCACACCTGGACCATCTCAGCCTGTGCTGGAAATCTGTGGACCTCAGAGAGGAAAAGTAACATTCGGTGGGTCATATTAGAAAACCCATGAACACAGGCCTAAAAACATAAAATATAAATCTGCTGAAGGAATATGGGAGTTGGTTATGTCCATGTAGTAAAAGGCAAATGGGTCACTGGTAATTTCTATGGAAGAAGAGGAAAACGCAGACCTTGGGTGTGTCCATAGAAGTGACTTAAAAAAGGGGGGACCCTATTGTATCACTCCTGGGGTTCTTTGGCTAGTGGCAGCAAGCCTTACGGAGAGGGGAAGACAAAATGATGTGATAGACCGCCCCCTCCCCCTTTTTAATCTTCTGTGGAACAGAAGAAGGAGAAATAGGATTCTAGTAGGGCCCATGGGATAAGGGGAAAACAGAGAACTTGATTAAAACCCTGGAAGAAAGGAGAAATCCCTGGCCTTGTTATATCCATGTAATAAAGGGAAAGTAGGCAGCAATTTAATGTTTATAAAATAAGGAGAAATTAGATGCCTGTCGCATCCATGGATAAGCAGAAAATAGGGGCCTCACTATGTTCATGGAATAAAGATAATGTAGGAACCCTGGTCATGTTCATGGAATATAAGGAACACAGGGGGCCTCAGACATGTCACTGTAATATGGTGAAAATAAGAAGCCTGGTTATATCCATGAATTAAGGGGGAAATATTGAGCCTNGGAGAGGGGAAGATAAAATGATGTGATAGACCCCCCCCCCCTTTTAATCTTCTGTGGAACAGAAGAAGGAGAAATAGGATTCTAGTAGGGCCCATGGGATAAGGGGAAAACAGAGAACTGGATTAAAACCCTGGAAGAAAGGAGAAATCCCTGGCCTTGTTATATCCATGTAATAAAGAGAACGTAGGCAGCAATTTAATGTTTATAAAATAAGGAGAAATTAGATGCCTGTCGCATCCATGGATAAGCAGAAAATAGGGGCCTCACTATGTTCATGGAATAAAGATAATGTAGGAATCCTGGTCATGTTCATGGAATATAAGGAACACAGGGGGCCTCAGACATGTCCCTGTAATATGCTGAAAATAAGGAGCCTGGTTATATCCATGAATTAAGGGGGAAATATTGAGCCTGATGAAATCCATGCAAAGGGCCCTGGTCATGTTCATGGAATATAAGGAACACAGGGGGCCTCGGACATGTCACTGTAATATGGTGAAAATAAGAAGCCTGGTTATATCCATGAATTAAGGGGGAAATATTGAGCCTGATGAAATCCATGCAAAGGGAAAAATATCAGCCCTGATTATTTTCATGCAATGAGGAGAAAACAGGGGACCTGTTTATTTTCATGTAATATTAGGAAAATAGGATTCCTGGTTATGGCCATGAAATAAGAGAAGTGTGGTTACCTGATTATGTCCATGAGAGGAAACATGGAGACTCTTCAAGTCCATGGAATAAAAGGGATGTAGGGGTCTGTTTATGTCCATGGAAAATGGGAAAATAGGGTCCGGTTCATGTCATAAAAATAAGGGAAAATAGATGCCTCGTCATGTCCACAGAATACAGGGAAAATGGGGCCTTGGGTATGACTGGAATAAGGAGAAAACACAGGCCTGAATAAGGAAGGGTGGGAGAAAGGATTGCAAAGGGGTGTGAGAAAACTTCAGATGACAGATACACTCATTGCATGGATAGATGTGAGGATTCCACCGTTGCAGACCTATGTCAAAAATCATCAAATTGTGCGCCTTAAATATATGCAATTTACTGTATGTCAATGACGTCTCAATGAAGCAGTTTGAGTCTGGCCAGTTGCTCACTTGGGAGAGCATGGTACGGAAAATATCAAGGTCAAGGGTTCAGATCCCCATACAGGCTGGCCACCCCCAAAATAAATAAATAAATAATAAAGCCGTTTGGATAGATGGGTGGATGGATGGGTGGATAGATGGGTGGATGGGTGGGTGGATGGGTGGATGGACAGATGGATGAATGAGTAGATGAGTGGGCAAATGAATGGTATGTGGAGCTAAGCACAATGCTTCCTATGAAACAGACACTCAGCCTGGGGTTCCCTTTCTGCCTCCATTGTGCCCCTTTTCATGACCAGTGCCTGGGGCACTGAAGGAGAAAGGGCTACCCTTGGGCAGAGATGCACAGGCACAGGACTGAGAATGATGACGACTGCACTGCAGCCCCTCCCCCCTTCCTGTGCCCCGGTCACCTTATTGTCTATTGCCACACCGCCCAGAGGAGAAGACACTCAGCCACACTGGTAATTGTCTCTTAAGGAAGAGGAAGTATCTTTCCCAAGAGCCCTGTAAACTTGGCCTCTTGTCTCCTGGGTTGAACCTGGTAACAGGCCACTGCTGGACCAGTCATGGTGGCAAGTGGAGGGGACACATCTAACATCAGCCCACGGCTGTGTGATGTGTGGATGAGGCAGTGTGGGTCTGAGGGGGCCCCCTATGAGCTGCACAACTTCCTGGTTTTGGCTGTGTACCACCATGCTTGGGATTTCTTTGTCAGCCCAGCTCCCAGGAGAAAAGAAACAGGAAACAAACAAAGGGATAATGCGTTTTATCACTGCAGGCACAAGGCTCTGCTTGCATGGGCTGAGGAGTCCTTAGACAAGGGAGTTTCCTGGCTGTAGCTTTTTCTCTCTTTGGTCCTATCCTCCTCATTGCTGCTGAGAGGAACTTCTCTGGCTCCTCCTTGACTCTGAGCTCTTGGGGGCCTGCACAGAACCACCCATCAGTCTGGTCAAAACCCATAGCTCATCACATTATGCCTCTGACTCGAAACAAAGTGGGGAACGTGGGAAAGGACCTTGAAGTCGTCTAGCAGATGCCCACGGATGTGGGGCATATTCCAGGACAGGTAGGTGAATAGCACACCCTGTGCCCAGCCATCCCCAGTCCAGACACCCAGGCCCATTAGTCCTGGTCTCACTTTGGGGCCTTGGGGCTTTGGGGCTGCTGTGAGGCGCAGGAGAGCTGAGGAGTGGGGTGCAGAAGCGGGAAGTAGGCAGCCTTTTTCACCATGGCTTGGCTGGTTGCTTTACCCTTTGAGTTTCAGTTTCCTCACCTGTAAAACTGGTATAATAATAATAAATACCTCATAGAGCAGTTGTGAAAATCAAATTTTAAAATGCATGGGAAGTATCCGGCACATCGGGGACAGTGGTGTTGGCTACATCAATAGCAGGAGTAAAACTCCAGCAGAGGTGAAACGGGTGGAACTGCCCTGGGCTCGGGCTTTCTCCTGTGAGTGTCCCCCTTCTTCCCTCCATCCTACTGCCATCAACATCAGTTCTAACTGTATTTCACTGGTAGCCATGGCATTGGGGCTGAGAGGAGGGTCACCGTGTGACTCTCTCTTCACGAGCCTACATCTGGTATCTGGAATCTTCTCACTCTGGGGGAACAAGTAAGCCCTTGTAGACAACACAGCTGATCTCAGTTGGTTTCTTCTCTCCGCCCTCTATTTTTTTTTTTTAACGCAGCACTATTTGATAAGCTTTCCTTTGTCCCCCAAATAATCCTGTTCTAGGTGGGCTGCTGACCTGAATATAACCCAAGCAGTAAGCAAGTGTATTTGAGACCCACCCTGCTGCCAGACACCCTTCAAGATGGCCCAGCAAGGAGCAGTGGCAGTGTGTATACCTGCTTGAGCACAGTGAGGCGTGGCTGCAGGCAGCATCACTGAGTTGCCAGCAGCAGTGCCCACTGCAGCCCTGTGCCTCATGCTGGGGTTGCAGCAGAAGGATGGGGCTGACCTTGGTTGGAAATGTCCTCTGGTGCCAGGGAGCAGGCCAACAGCAGGTACGCAGAAAGTCAGCCACAACAAGGTGGTACTATAGATAGCTACAAGCTGGTATTGCTCCAAAGGGCCCCGTGTACATGTTCTCTTCCCAGGCTAAGAAACCTGAGAAATCACAAAGCTCAGAAAGCTGGAGCCTATCTTAGGAGGTCGAGCCTCCTCACTGTCTGTGTGGCTCTTCCATTT